AGGGATGGTAGGTGTGTGAATGAAGTTTTCCAGGAAACTAGCCTGTACAATCTAAAATACCAAAGTTGCATAGAATGCCTGAGACCCTCCGCTATAAGCCGTCATGCTATCCACAGACTTAAGAAAAGCCACGTAAAGTCTGCTAGTGTTTCGCAAAGGAGGCACATGTGGTTCTCCTAGATCTGGGGAAGAACAAGAGAGGGAAGTCCTCAGCTTCTATCAGTGGCTGTGGGCAGATATGAAAGGCACCACAGGGGCTAGGTAGACAGCTCTCAACAGGCCAGGTCCACCCAGGAGATGTTTTAGGCATCAGAGGGTGGGATATAGCATCTTTAGCTTTCGCAATTACCAACGGGTGCTTGCGGCGTTTAATTCTCCAGAATGAGAGATGACGTAGTTTGATGAACAGCACGGTCAGTCCCACATGATACGCTGTTCCTCCCTGACTCTGTCTTTAATGTCTAACCACACATTCATGTGGGTCAGAGCTCTGTTTGTAAATAGCCAAGCTCAGAACCTAAATTTATTTCACATAAAACAAAAAGTTAGTCCTGCTCTAGCATTCCCCGCCCCAACCTTGGCTTACCAAAGTATACAAGAGAAAAGTAGGTCGCCCGTGGGCACATACTCCATACATGTCTTAGTAACAAAAACAGGAAGCAGACAGTTTATCACTGTAAGTATAAGGACGTTTGCAGGTGTTAAAGAAAGAAAGGTCAATGATTAGACTTAGGAACTTCTAAAAATTTAGTCAGAGAAATTCAAAATAAAATATATTAGAGGGAAATAAATGAGGGTCAACATCCTCCCAATCGAATCTGTAACCCTGGAACCTAGGAAAGACTGTCTTAGGGCTTCACTACTGAAGGAAAGGTAATGGCCATGCCCAGCCCTGGGAAAGGGATTCCTGTGGCGTGTGATGTCTCGAGAGTTTAACAGCTGCTACAGCCATTAGCAGCAACGGAACCACCGTGTCTTCTGTTATAAAAAGACTGTGTGGTGGATTCAATGTGTGAATGATGGAATCTGGTCATGCAGATCACCCACCGAGCATCAGAGAGGACAGGCTCTGGTGGCAGAGCTAAAATAGTTTGGCTACTTTTGGTGGCTTTGTTTTTCTATCTCTAGGGTGGACACATGGCTACCGACGAATGCCCACTCTGTGACTATCCCGAAAATAGCTAAATGACCACAGGTTGCCAGGCAGCTGCGTTCTGATGTCACTTCTCCTCCTAACACTTCCAACTGACCGTGACATGTACGCAGCAGGAAAGTGTTTCAAAAGACTTAGGTTCATATTTAGAACTTGTCTCTTAATAAGAAAACAATCTTGAACGGCAAGCCTCCTCTCAAAGGCAACTTCTTCACATTTTAAAGGAAACTCGGATTTAAAGTCATCATTCATGTTGGTCAAACTTTAACGCTGTTCTTTCAAATGATCATCAACATAAAAAGAAAAACACACTGATAATAAGCCAACATGACAGTAACTTTTATTGTAATAATACTGGGGAAGTAAAACCCGAAGTTGGGTTAGGATAAGAAAACAAAATTGAAATGTATTCTGAAGGCATTTAGGATTGGACAGCTTCACAGGCATCATGTTAAGAACTCAAAACCCTGATGGTGAAAAGCTGTGTTCTGACAGTAGACAAACTTAGGTACTCAGCGTCTAGGGATCTGAATCTTGTTTTAAGACTTACATTATAAAGTATATGGAATCCTTCGAATACCAGCTGGGTGGCTGTGGCACCATGAGGTACCCACTTAGGTTACAGTGCTGAAAATCTCAAGTTACTCTACAGTATTTGTCAGCTTAACGCCACTGGGTTCCTCCGTCTGGTGACCACCCTGTCTTCGTAGCTTCCGTTTCCTTCTGTTTAGAAGTCGACGAAACCTACTTTTAGCCATCTTTGCTCTCTTCCAAGTGTGCCCGTGTGACAAACGAACTAGAACTCACTAGGTTTTATGTCTGTCAGAAATCTGAAAGGTGACCAGTTACTTGACGATCATTAAACTCCACATTGTTGTCAAATTAGCTGGAATTTTGCTATAAGGATTAATCTTTGTGGTTTGGTTTGGTTTGGTTCGGTTTGGTTTGGTTCTGGGGTTGTTTTGTTTTATTTTGGTTTGCCTTTCCTTTTTGAGTCAGAGTCTCACTATGTCTTCCTGGATGCTTGACACTCACTGTGTAGAACAATCTGGCCTCAACTCAAATATGTCAGCTTCAGACTTCCGAGTGCTGGGATTAAAGGTGTGGACCACCACGCCACCCAGCTTGAATCTGTGCAATTTTTTAAATGAAACCCTCAGAAGAAATCTTGCTAATGAGATACATTTGCCTACTTAATTGCATTTTATTACTGAATTGCTCATAATCAGTGATCTATTCCAATTATCATCATCATCATCATCGTCGTCATCATCATGATGTTTTTCCAGGTAGGATTTTTCTGTGTAGAACTAGTTGTCCTAGACCAGGACCTAGACCTAGACTCTGTAGTCCAGGCAGGCCTCGAACTCAGAGGTCCACCTGCCTCTGCATCGTGGGGATTAAAGGTGTATGCCCTCAATGTCCCTCCCCAATTACCGTTATTTAAAAGGCTGCCCTTTTGAATTAAGGTACTTCATGTACCAGAATTTGAATATTATCTGTTGATCATCTTCTGGTGGGGAGCATTACTGATCAAACACCAGATTGCTTTATAAGATGGCAGTCCCAATTCCTGGGACTCTAAAGTAGAAGAAGCAAGACAAAGAACTTGGAGTTACACCCTTTGGAGAAGCCCTCTCCTCCTAGCTGTGGTGGTTACTCTATTCCCTACCTATCCTTCTGCAGCCCTCTACCCACCTGCTAACCAAGGGCTCCCCCTGTCAGCTCTCCCCTCTGTGACCAGGATTAGCCTCTGGCATCGGTACTTATTACATAAAGACCTTAAGGTTCTCTTAGAAGGAAACTATTTTCAATATCCAGAAAGGAAAACTCTGAGGATGGAGTTGGGGTGGGTGGGTTCTGTGGTTTGGTTTGGTGTTTTGGAGTGTCGGGTTTTGTTTGTTTTGAACTTTCACATATATCTGTATGTATGTTATATGTATATGCATGTTTACGTATTGTGTGTGGTTCTGGTGAAGGGTTCAGGTCTGACACTGGGGTCTTTCTCAGCCACTGTCTCTCTTATTCGCTGAGGCACATCTTGCGGTTGAACCTAGAACTCAAATTCAGCTAGCCCAGCTCGCCAACGTATTTTAGGGATCCCTTTGTCAGGCTTCTGAGGGTGCTGGAATTATAGGCTGCCACTCCCACCAAGCATTTACACAGGTTCTGGGGATCCAAATGCTGGTCCTCACATGTCTCAGCCAGCACATTACCTGCTTAGCCGTCTCCCCAAACCCCAAGTATTTGTTAATAAGTATGCATTCTCTTTAAATGATTTGTTCAGTATGTTGAATGAAAAAATATTCTGGCCCATTTTCGGAGCCCTCGTTTTCTGATCTATGGATAAAATGAACTGGCATTACTCTTCAGAATTCAAATTAAGAGGGTCCTTCAATTCTCATAGGCTTCTTTAAATGAATGAAAAAGACATTTGTTGTTCATTTGTAACGTGTATAAGAGGACTTTTATGCATGTAGGCTTTTGAGATGGTGTCTCACTATGTTGCCCTGCCTGGCCTAGAAACTCAGCTCACAGGTCAGCCTGCCTCTGCCTCCCGAGTGCTGATAGTAAAGGCGTGTACCAGCCACCATGATCGTCCTTTAAGAGAGGATCTTTCAGAAATACTCTTGAACTATAAATTTTAACATTATTCTCATTTCTAAAGTAGTGCAACATTTGGTAATTTTTAGTCAGACATGGTGATACACTTCTGTACTTCTAGTACACTGGGGTCAGAGGCAGGAGAACTGGCTCCAAGTTTGAGGAGTTCCAGACCAGTCAGCAATAGTGAGACCCTGTTTCAAAAAGCAAAACCAAACAAAAGACAAATACTATGAACAAAGCTCTTTATAGACTTGGGTCTATCTCCTTGCTTGTGAGAGCTGGTTTGGACAGGTGGTTCTTCTGGTAACCGTCATCTGGCCTTTATGATGGCGGAATGAAACATTTGGGAGTAGCAAGAGGTTTCCTGGAAATGTTGCTTGGTGATAAGTATAACGTTTTACTTCAGCCTACTGTGTGCGAATGAGTGAGGGCCAAAAGAACTCTGTACCTTACCCTATCCCTTCAGAGCAATGCACCGGTATTTCTGTGAACCCTAGTAGAGTAAAACGGATTCAGTCAGGGGTTGGATCTTCCACTCCCAGCAAATCCAGGACCAGAAAGGCAGGAGCAGGCCTGAGAGATGCTGTGCAAATGTGTAAATCCATTACTTTATCTAAATGTTTCTGTGGATGCTCGAACACCTGTCCCTGTAGCTCCTATCCTTTCTTCCAGAAGATCTTTTCCTGGCCCTCAGCAGTGTCCATTGGAAATTTAAGGGAGAAAGTAAGATCACTGACATTGAGGTTTTGTCGGTTTTGTTTTGATTTGGGGTTTTAGTTTTTGGGTTTGTCGTTGTTGTTGTTTGTTTGTTTGTTATGTGCTCCGTGCTCCAGACAGCTGTCCTAAGAATTTTATAGGATCCATACTTTTTCAGCAGTCTGAGACAGCAAGTATTACATTGCTAGCAATGGGTAGAGTAAATGGGATCTCTGTGGTGTTCTCTTGTGTTTCTCCCTGTACCATGGTATCTGTAATTCTTTCGCAGACTTCATAAGAACTTCCATGTGGTTGAGTGTAAAGTTTGAAGAAGTGGCTTGCAACCTGCACCTAAAGAAATCACTCCCAGGTTATAACATATAACCCTGTTAAAGCCAGCTATGGACTGAAAGTCTTAGAAATGCCTGACTGTTTATATAAATTCCACTTACTACACAACAACCCTGTCCCCCTCATCACTTAGGATCTTGGTACGAAAAAAGTCCTGGTATAATTATTAACATAGCTCTCTTTTCCTCTTCAGATCAAAAAGTATTTTGAACTTGAACCCCTGGCTCGTGGGAAACGCTGGATTCTGCAGCCCTGCTCTCTGGATGATGTGGACGCACTGAAGGACAGCTTCTCCCAGCTCATAAACTTGTTAGAAGAAAAAGACCATGAGGCCATGAGAATGTGAGACCTGACACAAAAGTTCCAGGAAAGCCTTGAACCCAACATGTTCGGTCCCCATCCAGATTCCGTGTTGGTGTCGAGACTGGCCTGGCTTCGGTATCTGTTTTCCTCTAGCTATTTCAGACTTTCATCTCTCTATTACCGTGACTATTTTGTGAGTCAGGTGGATTATCATCGGCATTAACGTCAAGTACACACTACTGAGAGAGAATTGATTCTCTGTTTACCACTAGTTATCTTCACCGCATGTCTCTTCCTCCTGTTGGTCTGAGAATCTCTTCTCTGCTTTGTGCTAAAGTGATTGGAACTCACCGCTCATGGAAATGAAACCCCTTCTGAAGACCTCAGAAAGTCTCACATGTCTTCGCTAACTTTCCTGGACTTGGGATTGGAGGATTCTATCTGAGACTCCACACAATGTATATGCCATGGACATTTCCATGATCTCTTAGGGGTTGGAGTTTTTACATTTTATTTTATCTCGTCTGGTTTTCATATTATTTTCTTGTGTGTGTGAGGATATTGACTTTGTAGGCTGAGTGGAAAATGGCCACCCCAAACTTCACCTAATCATCTTCTCTTAATACCGGCTCTGAAAGATCTAGAAAGGAGGCATGCAAGAATTGCTTGATCCTGCCTGCAGCTGTGTCCCCTTCCTTAGAAGGAGGACATCCTAGCTGAAGGAGTGGGAGCCAATTTAGGCAAGAACAGGCATCACTAATTTGAATTTGATCAACTCCTCAAATATTTCTTAATGGAGTCATTAGTCTACATAAAACTGAGGTGTAACATAAGCATTTGCCATTCCTAAAAATCAGAAATATTTGAATGAAATCTGGAAAATGGCTTTTCAAATAATAAACATAACAGGCCAAAGTATAATTCTCGGTTAAGACTTAAGCTGGCATGGCTTTGATGAAGCTCAAAGACGAACCTCATTATTTATTCATCAAATGCTAATATCTTTTAGGGGAGTCTTCTCAGGCCTCCATTTAGTAGTTAAAGGTCTGTCAGTATTTTTATTATAAACCTCTATTTTCAGGGGTGTCAATGTGCCCTTAGAGTATGCTGGGCTACAGCAAATAAAGAGACTCGGTCTTTGAAACTAATTTTTTTCCACTTAATTTAAATGATAAAATTGCCTAGAATAAAATGTACAGTTTTAGTAAGATTTAGCACCTCTGACCTTTTCTAAATCAAGACTAATCTATGAATATTCAGGTTCACAGATGAAATATTCTTTGGCATATCCTGTAGACACTTGACCACTCATTAAAATACTAAGTGGCCAAATGATAGAAAACTGCTCCCTACGCGCAAGCAATAAAAAACATGTCTGTCATTTTTAGGTAGTGTAGACTGATACCCAGATGCCACTGACTAAATGCCATATTTATCACAGGGTGACAGGAAACCTTGTGACTCTCCAGAGGATAGTCCTTAGACCCCTCACAGCGCTCAAATGCAGTATTTGTGATTTCATCCTGTAAATGGATTTTTAATAAAAACAACCCCACACTTCTTTAAGCCTTTTTAAATATATATATACACGACTTGGACCAGAGAAGGACCCATGATGATTCATTTTGTCTAAAGTATCCTTGAATATTTTTAAAACCATGTGATGATCCATGGGCAGCACAAATCTTTAATCCTCATGACCAGTTGCACAATTCCTGTTTTTATTTTGTCCTCTCGTGCTTATCTTCCGTGAAAATAAATAAATAAATGATTCTTTTTTTTTTTTCAGGCTTTGCTCTCCCTGCAAGTTCATTAAATGTAGAATGTTGTCTTTTGAAGATCCTGTGGCTGAGTGCTCCTCGCCATCTGTTAAATGACTTCCCGTTGTCTGTGTGTGTTCATGTGCGCCAGCGATGGGCTTCTCCACAGCCCCGAGACTGTCTGAGGCGTCGCAGCCGTCAGAATGAAAACATTATCAATCAGTACCCAACAACAGCTGTTTTTGACAAGTTTCTGTCTGACGCCTAATGCTTTACAACTGTCAATAAGGCTCTTTCTTTGTCTAGCAGGTCGCAGCGCGATGTCTTACTGCTTCCTCTTGGCATCCTGGACTCTGTAACCGTAGAATTTGCTGTGTTTGGGAAATCCGGGTGGGGGAGGGGAGGAGGGAGGGGAGGGGGGATGTGCGTCTTGTTCTTACTTTTGTGTAAGGTGCCACAGGTGTCTTGGTTTGCATATTCAAAGCTATAGGAAAACAGTCTGTTATGTATTTCCTCAGTTAGCATCTTGTTATATTTATGGAAGTGGTCCATTTTTGTACCTTCTTAGCTAAAGCAGTTGCCTCTTTTTTATACTGGCAATTAATTTATATAAGACTTTGTATCTACTATAGTTTACAGTATTGGTTACTGGATAACTGCCATATCACCCTGTCTTTCTATTGAGATTTCCTCTATCCAGACTTAAAAGTTGACAGGTTCATGTGGGCATTTGCTAGGCAGCAAGAACTTGCCCCATTCGTGATTTATATGATTTCCACTGTCTTGCAATGAAAATAAATGCTTAGTAGAATGGGCGTTTCCAGACTGACTCTTCTCAGCCTTAGCATTTGAAAGCCCCAGATTTCTATTTACTTTGTGTTGCCTGCTTAAATCTTCAAAATAAGTTCTGCTGCTCTTGAATCAAAACAAATGATTAATATGTGTGTCTTTTGGAGCTATTGTAAGAACCTTAAAAGAAAACGAAGCCAAGTGTCTTCTCCAGTTGGTTCTACTTGAGCAGCAGTTTACAGCAGGAAGTTTACTGTCCTAGCAGCCATTCCTTCAAGGGGAGTGAGGAGCTTGGAGATTGGATGGGATGTGTCATCCTTCAATCAAAGGACCTTCTTCCAACGTCTGTCCTGAATGCCACTTTCTGCAAGTTGACCAAAATCAACTGTTTCTTCCAGTGGTTTTGACGCCCTTAAAATATCGGTGGTCTTAATGAGCTTAGGAGGATACACTGTACATTCACATGTCGGTCTTTAAGGATGGAAATAGGAAAGTAAAAATTTAAAAATAGACGGATAAAAGATGAGAAATAAAAAAGGGAGAAATATATGATGAGAGAAGAAAAATTCAAACTCCTGCTCATGTCCGTTCTAAGCACAGCGTTATCCTGACATGTACCACTTAAGCCCAGAAAGTTTTAAACACTTCCTCCTGAGTTTGCCAGCGACCCTGTCATCTCAGACCTTCCCAAGCAAGTGTGGACAGGATGCAAGATTTTTGAAGCAAATGGGTGCTTTTTCATGTCCAGATTGCAGTCTCAGACTCAAGTAGAAATGTAGTATCCATGCTGGCTTGATCCAGTGTTAAAAGGAGCAAACCAACATGAGATGGCATGTGTGGGGTGGAGCGGCCTGGGACTGAGTCTGCTCCCTTGGGAATCCTCATTTCAGTGTCTGGAGGGAGGATAAGTCTTTGTTATGCAGAAAGTTTGTAATCCTGGTTCCCTGTCTACCCTTGTTCTTGTTCGTTCTGCAGCCTGGGTCCGGAGGATCTGAAGTAAGTTAGGCTGTGAAATGTATTACCACATCTTGTAGGGGAATTCCTGACTCCCAAGAGCACACAGCTTTTGGTCAGCATTGAGTCAGCATGATTAAATGATTTGCATCTCTGGACTAAATGTTTCCAACTCAGATGCCTGAAGTGACAGATGAGCCTAGACTTTGGCACTGCCCGGCCCCACCCTCCCACTATCTAAGAAGCACGCAAAGAGTCCCGGTAGGACTCAGCCTCGGATGGAAGATCCATTTCCCCTCCCCTTTCTGAACTCTCTTTGAATCAAAAACCTTCCCTTCTGTGAACAGCTCACTGCCCCCCCCAACCCCCACTGTTTCATCAGACCTGAGATTCCTAACTTCCCACCATGAGTTTTCTGTGACAGCCTCTTCCTAATGTGACTCTCTGTGAAACCAGAGCAGAGCTTCAAAAGTCACGAAGAAGAATCTCTCCAGCATGTGCCTCGTCTTGCCTCGTGCTTTCCCGTAAATAGTGAAGAAAAACTCACGAGGCTTCCACCCGTTTTTATACACTCCATCTCTGTTCCATGAGTGCTGAGCTCTCAGGAAACCCTAGTTTGAAAAGGCAGGTGTTCTGCAGTATTCTCGAACTTCCCTCTTTTCCTCTCTTGGGCATCTCCATGGGCTACTATGAACAATCACTTTACAAGACACTACCATTGGCCTTGCAGTTTTCGTTTTCGAAGCAGTTTTGCTTGGGTACATCCTTTGTTAGCTTGGCGTGTATACTCAGGGAGGTCACAGGGAGATCACGGGGAACTGTGAATAAGGAAAGGAAGGCCTGAAGGCCTTCTTGGTCTCACCCAGGTTTATAACCCACTCTTAATTCTGACCCCTCCTCCATCTCCTACCGCCCTAGGTCATCATGACCAACGCGGATGCAGCCACTGAATGGTACCTTTGGGGGAAACATTTTTTTTTTATCTGTTGTAGACATTTAAAGAATGGAGAATTTCCTTGTTCCCTTTTCTAAAATCTCTTACTCCACCTGGTGCTTTCAAAATACTCTCCACAAATATTCCCATGAAGCTCTTTGGATAGCAGCATTCTAGCCCTGGAGATGACTGAGCTGTGTGTTCCCCAAAAAGGGGGGGGGGCTCTGGGGACAGAATAAAATAAGCCTTGAATAACCATCAGGTTCTCCCCACACCGCCCCCTCCCATTCTTCCCCTGCTTCCTTGTGGACACTGGGGGTTGTTTGGGGAAAAAAAAAAAAAACTAAGATCGCTTCCAGCCCCACCAGCCAGCCTTCCCAAAGGTGTGAAATCCAGCCTCACACGCTGCAGCCCCTCTGACAAGTGATTCATTGAGACCCAAGCTGGAGCTCCAGCATCAAACAGATGTCAGACGATACACCAAATGCCTATAAATGATTGGTTTGCAAGCAGTGGAAGGACTGCAAGACCTGGCCTAATGATGTTCCCCATGTCTGGACAAGTTTACAGAAGATGTGGGGGTGGGGGAACTGGTTTCAAACAGAGTCTGGGAAGAAGGCTGTTTCTAGGGGTGAGAAATGAAACCTCAGTTCCCACCTGAGTGGCTCCTGTTGGATTGAGTGGTGTCTGCTTGGTTTGCAGGCAATGTATAAAGGACTGTCTAAAAAGTGCATGTCAGGGGCACCCCACAGGCCAGATCGGTGTGATGCATTAAATCATTAGACGTAAATATCTAAGGAAATTAAGGAACGAAATCGGCTTGGAGCAGAAACTGCTCACCAAAAGGCAGAGACAGGAATGCAAACAGTAAGTCTGACTGTCATTCCCCATACTCTGGAGCAAGTCAAGCTTGGCTCTGGTCGTTCTCCAGTTCTTTTACAGCTTTCTAGACATGGGGTGTTTGCAGCTTCAATGGGATTTTTGAAAGGATAGCTTGTCCAGGCCTAGCTTACTATTCTCTTTTTCAAGGTCTTTATTTCATGACTAGGACTTTGGACTTCATTTTCAGGCATTTGTTCACTCATTCGTTCCTACTATGTGTCTGTTCACTCATTCGTTCTTACTGTGTGTCAGGCATTGCATCAGATGCCAGGAATACAACAGTCAATGCTTGCTTAGTCTTCACTTTTGTAGAATTTTAATTCCTGTAGCATTGAGTAAGTTGGATTATTTCTGTGAGCCCAGACACTAAGTGGTTGCATTTTCTATATTAAAATATTTGTTCTTGTTCCTAATTCCTGGTCTTCAGTTCTCCTAATTTAGGATTAGTTTTAATGCCACAATGTGGGGCCACCAGTAAAAGCAGAAACTTAAACACAGACATCCATAGAAAGGGTTGTGTCTCCTTTAACATCTTTCTAAACAAAACCCCATGAAGCTAGGACTCTTCTGCTAGCTGATTGCGTGTACTAACACAGCAAATATTGTGTTGGACGTGCACCTAACATCATGTGTGTGTGTGTGTGTGTGT